TTGAAATCCTTTTAATATTTTATTTCAATAGTTTTAATTAATAAATAATTATATAAATATTTTATACGTTAATTTAAAAAAATAAATTATTAATATTTAATATAAACCATAAATCATTGAGAAGATGGAGGAAATCCCCCTAAATGGATCTGTCTATAATTATATAGATTAACCGGTACTAAAAGTGAATTAACATGGATATTTTTCCCTTTCCGGTCGCAAATGTGCGACAATAACAATTAAATGACGTAACTGATGACGAAGATACTTCCATGAACAGAGACAGTGTGATTGAGATACACGTGTAGTTTAGGTAACCCTCCATTAAGGACCAATAACCAATTAAAACAGATTTTTATACTCCGGTTGTCTAGTTAGAATGAAACACCAACTGGGCCTGTTTGAAAATTTTGATTCTCCTCTTACTTATTTCTTCCTTACTACTATTTGCTATATCAAAGAGTCGTGACACTTTTGATTTCCCATATGGAAGCAAATTAAATTACTAGTCAATGTTATGACCAGTTTTGGAGTACTATACTAGTATATAGTAAAAAAGTCAATACAACAGTGACATTTTCTTATAAAGTTTCATTTTTAAACTAATTTAATATATTTTCAAAACTAATTTCTGAAATTTATGGTATTCACATAATTATGTGTTGGATAAGGGCTGAGTAGCCAAAAAATATGTGTTGGCCAAAAAGTCTAATATTTTCTACTTAATATCTGTAAATTATCAAAACTGAGTCTCTGATTAAAAAACAAAGAATGCTAAAAAAAAATCCTATTATTTTATGTTTATTGCCCAGAGCATAAGCTTTTGAATCACGTATGTCTTGTAGATGATCTATGGTCAATTTAAAAATGGTTAGGTAATTATAAAAAAAATGGACTAGAAATATCAAACAATAACATTGTATGTTAAAAAATTGCTTGAAGTTATAAAGTCTGTAATTTGAAATTTCAAGAACACTTTAACCGATTAAAATAATATATTAATCTATTATTAAAATTACAAAATTTTGATAAATGAAGACCAGCAACAATAATCAATTATTATGATAGGCAAAAGCTCGACAATTATTATTATTATTATTATTATGAGGAGATAATCTGTTTATATCAATCAATTAATTTGTTATGGATTGAAACTCAGTTTCAAGATAATTAAAATAGTTGATTATGGTAAGTGAATTATCGATTATTCCAATTTTGTAACTACAAATAATAGATTCGGTGAAAAAACATATTATGACTCTTACTATCTTTACATACCAAATGTTCTAGAACTGTTTTACTAAGTCATAATTTGTAGTTTTGAGTTCGATTCATTACTCCCCAACAAGTTAACACAAACAATCATGGATCATTAAATCATTTATAGGAGCAAGAAGAGTCATCAGAAAGCTAATTGTTTTGTGTTTTTGATCGAGGGTTTATGAGTCACGTTTGAGGTGATATTGTTCATTTTTTAGTTTTGTTTTTTGCAAGGTGTTATCTAAAGGTTTTAAAAGTGGGTATTCTACCTGGTGGGTATAAAAAATTTGAGGGGTCAAGAGTCTTGGTTGAAATTTGGTTTGCAAGTGAAGTGTAGTGAACTAACGGTATAACGACTATTTATATTATTTAAATATAAATAAATTTTGTTTTATGAATATTTAGAAGAACAAACGACATATATTCCGTAAATTTTTACATTAAATCTATATAATAATATTAAACGTCATTTTTGATTGTGATAGTTTTTTCTCCTATTTTGTTTCCCCTTATGTATATTAGTGTTGTCTAGTCCATACCTTTTTCTTGTTCTTTGATTTCTTCGCGACCCAAATCAATTTTTTTTTTCAGGTAGTTGGGCTTGACTTCATCGTTGGAGAGTTCATGATATATGCACCTCCTTTTTTCTATAAGTACACCTTCTTTAAAAAAAAATAATTAAATTCTTAAAATATTTTTAATTTTTTTTAAAATTTTTTAATTTTACATTCACAAAATTTAATGTAGTATTTTTTTTACATATTATTCATCTTTATTTTAATTTTTACATGCATCCTCTTTATCTTTCCTTCACCCCACCTATTTTGGTAGCATATGAAAATTAAAAGAAAAAAAAAGTATGTGAAAAAAAAGAAGAAAATAACAAATTAAAAGTTAGAGGTGTAAAATAAAAAAAATAAAAAAAAATAAAATTTTATAATTTTTTTTATAAAAATAAAAGAGATGTACTTATTAAAAAAAAGGATATATATCATGAGGCAAGAGGTCTTCATAGTTCATCTTTTGGGTCCAATAGTACAATTTAAGGAATTCTTAGCAAACATGAAAGGGAGACACTTTGTGTTTTATATCTTATATGAAGATTTATTAAAATATTATAACTTATATGATTTTGTTTTACATTAAATAAATAAACTAATGTTATCTTATATCAATTTATAAATAAGATTGAATAAATTTAGTTAAGAAATGTTATATGTATTGTTGAAAATATCATCAATAAAAAATTCAAATATCAAAAATTTAGTTTTCATATGAAAATAACATTAAATTGAATTTAAAAAGTTTTTCTTAATGTGTATAAATGTTTTCATTGTATACCTGTTTGTCTCAATATTGTTTTTGTTGCAACTATATGTATTGCATCATTGCTTTGTTTAGGAGGTACAACAATTCACAATAAATTTCAAGTATCATTATTTTGAAAATAACACTTGTTTAATTATTATTATTATTTTATTTATTTAGTTTAACGTTTTTTGAAAAAGTTAATTACCTTTTTCATATTTTAAAACAGTGACTGTTTTTAAAATTTCCTATTTTGTTTAATCTTTTTCTCATGAAAAGAATAACTTTTACTTTGAAGAAAATAGTTTTTATTTTTTTTAGTTTTTTCGTCTTAAAAAAGTACAATTTAAATAAAATAACATTTTTTATTATTTTGATAACTTTAAAGAATTATAATTACAACTACTTCTAAGATAAATAACTTTTAATAATTGTAATAAAATAAAAACACATTTTAATTCACACAAGACCATTAAAAAGCAAATCACATAAAATATTGAAAAAGGACATTTTTTTTATACTTTGTTAAAATCAATATCTACAAATAAAAATTTTAAATAATAAATTAATAAATTTTAACGCATTTTTATTTTCATATTTAGGTTATATTTTCCTATTTACAAAATTTCATAAATATCAAAATAGTTTCTAAAATTAGAAATTAAAATAACTTAGTCACTGTAGTTTCTCTTATTAATTCTATATATATATTTTTTAATGATAGTAACTTATAAAATTTAATAATTATAGTAATAATAAGTTTTATGAACAAAAATAATAATAACAAGATGTATCAATATCAATATTTGTATCATGGTTTAAAAAAAAAACTACAAACCAAAATAATACCGAATGAACCCGGTCCATACAACATTGGGTTAAAACGGGGTCGTTTTAGAAAGTTGTCTTTGTGAAGTATAAACCCATATTTTGACGCGACCAAAACCCTTGCGCCTTCGATTCGCATCTGAACTCTCTCACTCACTTCGCGAACCCTACTTTCTTCCGCGGTTAGTCTCTCTCTCATTTCTCTCTGTATTTTAGCCATTTTATGCATTTCGAGTATCGTTTTCTTCGTTCTCGAGCTTCCTTTTCATTGCGCATTGCATCAACTTCTCAACTTGTGCCAAACTTTTCAAATCGCGTTTTCTTCTTCCCTTTCTCGCCTTCGCATAAATCCTTGCTCGTTTCTGTTGTCCGAGTCAAACCCTAATTGTTTCTTTTTTTTTTTGATAGGTTGGTTGAATTAATACTTAGACGTAGATTTTAACTAAGATTTAAGAATGCGTTAGTTGATAGAACTCAGTAGCATTTGCAGTGCATAATAACCTTGGACCAGCCACAACGGATTAAAGTTTTCTTCAGAAGTCTTTTAGCACAATTTTCCCCTCATACTTTTGATAGATTTGTAATGTTGTAGATTCGTGGTAGATTGTGATCTAGGAAAAATCACATTATAGTTTGTTTTTATGTGTAAACTGAGTGATGCATATTACGAGAAGAGTGGTTTATTGTGAAGGGTGAAAGGAAAAAAAAATGTAATATGCGTATAGGGGCAGTGTCTCCTCAGGGTTAGGGGGCCTTTGCCTCCAGTTTCTTTAATGTGATTTTGCTATTATTATTATTATTTTTGAATTGGCCTGGTCCATTTGGTATACGAGCTTAACACTACCCTACATTGTGTAGAATATATATAGTTTTTTTTTTTTTTTTTCTGTGATTGGTTATGTAACAGATGTGTTTCTATATTCAGGTGACTGCATTTGAATTCCTTTAATGGCGGTAAGTTACTTGCTACTAATTTTGTTATTTTTTCTTTCCTTACACTTCTGTTTTCCTTTTATTTGAGGATTTATCGTGCGTTGAATGCTATAGATTGATAGAATTTTTAAAGATGAAGCCAGTGAAGAAAAAGGGGAGCGGGCTAGAATGGTGAGCTTGTTATGATTTTATGTTTTGTCTTGCCTTGTTAAGAATAATATACTTATTCTGATCATCAGCAAAGATTACCTTGCATTGTTTTTTTATTTTGGTGTCTGAGGGAAGTTGGTTAACTCTAACTACGTTTGTTGTATAATATGATCTTGTGCAGGCTTCTTTTGTTGGAGCCATGGCTATTGCTGACTTGGTGAAGACAACCTTAGGCCCAAAGGGAATGGTAAAATATCCTTTCTACTCATTATTACATGTTCTGATTAATGATTTTATTTTCTACTCCTAACTAATTCATATATCTTGGATTTGGTAACTGCAGGATAAAATTTTGCAGTCAACAGGTAGAGGACGTGAAGTTACTGTCACTAATGATGGTGCTACAATCCTGAAGTCCCTCCATATTGATAACCCGGCTGCTAAAGTCCTTGTGGGTATCCTTATCAATTTTTTTGTTTTGTTCTGGTGAAAGTAAGTGGCCTAGAAATTTTTGGATTGAGAGCTAATTTGAAATGCTTGTTCATGTTCTTAAGGGTTTGACAGTTACTGAAATCAATAATTTTTAACCTGGAAAACTTACTACACAGTGATTCCAAAGTGAGAAGTCTAGGTTTTGAATTTTCTAAAGCACATGACAAACTCGTTGTTCCATGGAAGGCCTTAAACAATGTTGAAACAAATTGATGTCTGTCTGGAGAAAAACCCAAAATATAGGTCAGGATTTTGGGTAACGTAAACTCCACCACTAACCCAAGGAACCTGCAGTTTAAAAAGACAGACTAAGATGCATTTACTTCCTTTCTGAATCTGTAGAAGAGATGCAAAAGTGCTATGTTGCACTTCATCACGGCATGGAACTGTTCATCAATGTGATGCAGCATATGTTGAGAAGAAAAGCATAAAATACTCCAAATTTCTAAAAATACCAACTCCAGAACTCTTTTTGCATGACAATCATATATAAGTAGATGGCCTTGTAACATCTTTAGGTATAATAAAGTAGGTTAAAAAATGCTTTGAATGTTCCTCCATCTTTGGGACTTAGATAATTAGAAGACAAATCTTGTGTTTAGCTATATCCAAGAGGACATTATCTTCAATATCATTTTAAGAAGAATTTGAATTCTGTTTACATTGTAGACACCCTGCCAACAGTCTACAATGAAAACACTAAGTTTAATAATCTAAAAATAGGCATTCACAGCTTTCCATTGACTAGTCTGGTTTTGTGCCTCTGCTTAAGCTGATCTTCAAAAGTAACATTTTAGTTTAATAGTTCGTGATTAATTTTGGTCTTCAAAAACTGTCCTTGCTCTGACTTCCTGAATCACGACTATAAATGAATACGCGATGAATTTGTGCTGTCATTAGTTAGGCTAAGGACTGTCTTCAAATTCTTCCGCATCTTTTGGAGAACAGCTAGATTATCATTAATCTTGGATTAGGTGGAAGGGTTTGGACATATTTATCTGAGGTGGCAAGCAATTTGTTACTTGCAAAATTCCCTTCTAGAAAAGGGTGAGTAATGGGACATTGGTATTGTTGCTGTCTTCTGACTTATGTAGTTCACAGGTTCAAATCATGGAGACAACCTCTACTTTTGGGTTTTGAGTTTATAGTTCACAGGTTCAAATCATGGAAAACAACCTCTCTACTTTTTGGGGATGTGGGTGCGGTCCATGGGGGTGAGGTTTTGTACATATCGGTCATGGATGAGCCCTGTGTACTTGGTTTTCCTTTATGTAACACCCATTCAGTTATTAGTGAGAGCATTGATGTGGATTTTACTTTTATGTTTAAATCATAAGATAATCATCCTTAATGTAAGATAGACATATCAAAAGTACAAGATGATGAAGTTGGGGATGGAACCACATCAGTTGTGGTATTGGCTGGTGAACTTTTAAGGGAGGCAGAAAAGCTGGTTGCAACAAAGATTCATCCAATGACCATAATATCAGGTTCATTTCTTTGCTTTATAAAAATGGTCCAACTGCCCTTATGCAAATTTTGTTCTGTTTCCACATCAATTAATTTTCTTCTGGCAAGTTTTGATTCACATTGCGAGAGTATGAGGCAATTTACTGGAATAAGAAATTATATTGGATAAGAAAGCAACATTTTCCTTATTGTGCATCATCCATCATTAATTTGTATTTTGTATAGCAGATCTTTCTTTGGTGTCTAACATCATTGAAGCTTAGTTTGAAGCTTGATATTAAGCAAGTGAATATAAAACCTACTGTGTTAATATTTTTTTTTGCTGGTTTTCTAAGTAAATTAAGGATCTTTTTGTTGATAGTTGTGACTAAGTGGTGGTAATAAAAGTAGTCAACATAAATTTTTCCATTCTGAGTCATTTATTTTCTTTCCAACTTCTGTTGCTGGCTTGCTGCCCGATCTATACTTATTTTTTCATTGTTTTTAGGTTTCCGAATGGCAGCAGAGTGTGCTCGTAATGCTTTGTCACAGAAGGTTGTGGATAACAAAACGGATGCTGGTATTGTTGTTTTCCCCCTTTTGGATAGGGATTTTTCAGGGTTTTATCATTGTCTTTAGCATTTTAATACATTGTTATTATTATCCCCATGTTAACAGAGCCAGGTATAGAAGCATTCTTGTGTCTTAATATCTAATAAATTAATTTACTGGAATGTGCAGAGAAATTCAGGTCAGATTTGATGAACATTGCAATGACTACTTTGAGCTCCAAGATTCTCTCACAGGACAAGGAACATTTTGCAAAATTAGCTGTGGATGCTGTAATGAGACTAAAGGTGAACTGTTCCTATCCTACTGAATACCAGTTTTCAATTTTAGCGAATTCAGCAAATAGTCTGTATTGTTTGTCAAGTTCTCTTCAGAAAATCATGGAACAGTGGAAGAACTTTAGTCTTGATACACGGGATTCAATTTTGATCTATATATTTTTCTGCATACTTGACTGGAGACATACTTAATAGTATATGCTATTTGGAAGTTCAATTACAAAATTTCTATATGAATATGATCCTACAGTTTCAATCATTTTTTACTCTAAGATGTGACTATTCCAATTTTTTCAAATCCCTGAATAACAGAATTTTAACTTTTTAATATGATTTCATAATAGTTTGAAATATTTTATAGACTCAGAAATAATTGGTTGAACTTGGTAGAGCTTAAGTAAATACACTTTAGCAAATACTCTAACAACTCCAGAATATACTTAAGTAATAGTCTTGCTAGAGCTTGGGCCAAAAAGACAAACAGCCCACTTAGGGAAATAATAACAGAAATACTAAAGGGAAAGTTTAACACTTAGACAAAGTCCTTCATCCAATATGGGCCCGATATCATTTGTTTGGGCCTATCGTTGAACTTGGTAGTTTTTGAAAATTTATAAATATCCACCCCATTTTGCAGGTGGAAAGATGAGAGATAGAAGAAATGTAGATAGAAAGTGATATGTGATGTGCGATATAATTAAAAAAAAAATGTAGAGTGATAGAAGAAAAATGGGGTGGAAGTGATTTCCAAGAGAGTGGATTGTGTGTTGATAAGTACTCTATTTTTTTGCCGGGTTATCTCAGTTTTTCATTTGGAGCAGTGATTATTCCCTTTTCTGGTCTAAAAGTAGGAAGTGTTCTTTAGTTGACTTTTTAATTTGTGATATAGTTATTCATTTTTTTTACTATGCAAATGGTGCAAACAGATGTGATTATGCCTAAAGGATTTTTTTTATTAGTGAGCTATAATGTGATAAGTTAACTGTCTTTTCATGTTTTCATTTTTTATATCTTGCTTTTGACTGATCTGTTTCAAATGCAGGGAAGCACTAATTTAGAATCTATCCAGATTATAAAGAAACCTGGTGGATCTTTGATGGATTCATTCTTAGATGAAGGGTAATATTGCTTAAAAGCTAGACTATTTTACACTTTGTGAATAGGAATGCTTCAACCTGTTATTGAATCCCTTGTATCTTTTGTATTGAGTTGCACATGAAGTCTTCAAGCAATTTATATAAAGTGAAATTTTTTAAAAAAGATTATTAAACTTTCCTGCCTAGTGAAGGATTTTGCTGCATTAGTAATTTTGTTATTTATTTTCCAAGCATTAGCATTATTTTGGATGGATTAAAATTAAGCTTTCTGTATTGCTTTCATATTTTTTCAGATTTATTCTTGACAAGAAAATTGGTATTGGACAACCCAAACGGATAGAGAATGCAAAGATACTGGTGGCAAACACTGCCATGGACACTGACAAGGTGAAGATATATGGTGCACGTGTTCGTGTTGATTCTATGGCTAGGGTTGCTCAGATTGAAACAGCTGAGAAAGAGAAAATGAGAGAAAAGGTGCAGAAGATAATAGGTCACGGTATCAACTGTTTTGTTAACAGACAGTTGATTTACAATTTTCCAGAGGAGCTCTTTGCTGATGCCGGAATATTGGCTATTGAGCATGCTGACTTTGATGGTATTGAGCGTCTGGCTTTGGTAACAGGTGGTGAAATTGCGTCAACCTTTGACAATCCTGAGTCTGTTAAGCTTGGGCATTGTGACCTTATTGAGGAGATTATGATCGGCGAGGATAAACTTATTCATTTCTCCGGTGTTGCTATGGGGCAGGCATGTACAATTGTTCTGAGAGGTGCTAGGTACTTTATATTCTTTTGTTATTAAAATCCCTTTCCAGTGTTCTTTTACATAGTCAGACATTTTAATTTTGACTGTTAAATATGATTTTAGTCCCTCAAATGAATTAAATTTGTTTTTGGTCTCAATTTTAAAATTGATTTTTTAATCCTTGTAATTTGAAAAAAACTTATTTTAGTCTCTTTGCTCAAATGTTGTTAGTGAATTTGTCAAACAAAGCCCACCTTTATTGAATCTGTCGCACATAATCCATCTGTTAGTATCCTTATTGGTGAAAATATCACATTAAACTCTATTGATGTTGTATAATTGACTCAATCTTTCATTTTTAGTGTTGCTATATGTGCTGCTCAGGGACTAATATAAGCCTTTTGAAATTACATGGACTAAAATGATAAATTTTAAATTTGAGAGACCAAAAATAAATTTACCATATTTAAGTGGATTAACATATTTAGGCCATTTTGATATCAGATTACATCAAATCTGTCAGCTGAAGATTTTATTTGTTGGCTGCAGTAAGATTTGTTTACAATGTTTTGTTCCTTTCAGCTATAATCACTATCTATTCAATTATATTACTTCCTTTACTGCTTTTTCTGTGCGGATTTATTGAAATTTTACATCAGAATTGAACATGCTTATTGAGCTCAATGATTTGACAACTGAGCTTTTTGAAGGCTACTTGCTTTTATGCATGTCTTCGTGACTTCACTTGAGCTCATAGCATCATGGCTGATTTAGTTTATGCTTTTATGTTGTCCTATCCAATTTCTTTTTCAGTTTCAATCAGTGCATTGTGAGCTGGACATGTTTAGGTGTTTTCTATGCACGAGGAGACATCTATTTATCAAGAATTGAATGTTTCGTTTTTACTTGTTCTTTAAGCCTGATGTATCTACTTTTGTGGCAGCCACCATGTTCTTGATGAGGCTGAGAGGTCATTGCATGATGCCTTGTGTGTGCTATCTCAGACTGTCAATGACAGCAGAGTGTTGCTTGGAGGTGGGTGGCCTGAGATGGTGATGGCAAAGGAAGTGGATGAGTTGGCCAAGAGAACTCCTGGAAAGAAGTCTCTTGCTATTGAAGCATTTTCCCGTGCACTCTTGGCTATCCCAACAATCATAGCTGATAATGCTGGTTTGGACAGTGCTGAGTTGGTTTCTCAGCTTCGCGCAGAGCATCAGAAGGAGGGTTGTACAGCAGGGATTGATGTTATTTCTGGTTCTGTAAGTATTGAAACTGAGAATTGGGTGAATTTATTTGCGTGAGCATCTTTTTTGAGTTGCTTCATCTTGTTTGATATTGCCATGTCTCTTGCGTTGGATGCTACAAGATGCGCTCTTACAGGAAAATGTTTGAAATTTTTAGATTTGATTAGTAAAGTTACTGTCTTTATAATTTTATATAGGTAGACAATCTATTTTACGTTTGCCCCATTCGCTGGTCAAAAATACTAATTTCTGTTATATAGCTTCAAGTGTCTCAATGAAATTTCCTATATCTCTCTTTTTTACATCTCTGGTGGATTTGTCAAATGTTCATCCCGTCAACATGTAGAACGCTGGATGAGTTAGGATGTATACCTTTTGAAGGAGGTTGATGTTACCATGGTTTATGTATCCCATTCACTGACCTTTGTTGTATTTCTGGAAGGTTGGAGACATGGCTGAACGGGGTATATGTGAAGCATTTAAAGTCAAGCAAGCTGTATTGCTATCTGCTACAGAAGCAGCTGAGATGATCCTTAGAGTTGATGAAATCATCACTTGTGCTCCAAGGAGGAGAGAAGACAGAATGTAAAATATGCCGAGGGTCCAAATTTAGATGCTTGGGGGTGCCTTTCGTTTTCTGGCATACTATTAACGAGTGCTGTGATATTTGATATGGTGGTTGTGATCGGAAGGACTGGTTGTAATGTTAAACAT